TTGGTTTATGTTTATAAAAAAAGTATATAGTTCATATGTGTCTTATATTTATTTAAATTCTTAAGTCCAATTTATTTAAAATAACTATTTGTCTTAAAAAAAAATAACTGCAAAATAACTTTTAGTTATTATTTTTATAAAAAATTACTCTACCATATTTTGTAATATTTTATTAATTGCTCAACCGTGTTTATTATTATTCAAGTGCTAATTTCCTAATGCCACTTTGCTTGTAAATTTTCATAACATTATTCGATTTTTTCATTTTTAAGCCTTGCTTTGTTAACTTACACACGCATACATACATACATACATGCATATATTTAAGTATATTTCACATATTTGTGCCATTACTGTTCCCATATGAATATGTAATATGTAGTCTAATTGCACGCGGTCGCGTCGCCAGTTCCATTGCTAATTGTCTAACTCGCTGACTCTGGCTTATTCAGAACTTAGCAATTTGATGACATTATTTTTATTGATTATGAATTATTGTCGTGCGCACTCGCCGCCAATGTAAGCTCACTTAGCATGCTCGACGTACGAACGCTGACTTGTGCATGCGCTTCTTCTTATCATGCTTATCCCGTACGACCGTAAGGGAGACGCACAAATATGAAGATAGTTATGCACCGGATGAAATCGCACTAACACGCTTCCCGTAGCGCTAAGCAAATAACAATATGCACCACTATATGTGTGTGTGTGTGTGTTTGTGCTTGTTGTTGCCTTTATTACGCATTATTAATTTGAAATTTGTGTATGCAAATGTTGTCGGCGACATTCGCCCGAAATGGTAACACAAATTTTTCAACCAATTTCTTCTTTTGTGTGGGTGGAGATGTGGAGCTAGTGCACAATGACACACACACATACAGCTATGTGAGGTAGACATGACTACATTCATACTGTTGTGTGTTTGTAGCTATGTATGTCATATATAAATGTAGCTGTAAATACATATGTATGTACACTTGGGCGCCCACAATGCAAGACAGGTTAGCGCTGCACACACACACCACACACACACATATGCACACATGTACTATATAATAGCATCCAATAGCCGCTTTTATCGGCGGCTGCCTCGCCTTGCGCCAGCCTCATCCAGATTTCACTCTCATTGACAAGTGTTTTTGTACAGAAAAGGGCAATTGCAAGTTTCAAAGTTTGCAATTTTTGCTTTTCATTTTTTTGCCTCTCTGTTTGTTTGCTTTTGCTTTTATTTTTTGCTCTGCATGACTTTATAAGGCGTGTGGCGTTGATTTCATGGCTTTGTGCTTAACTTAATCTAATTAGTTAATTTTAAAATGGGTTTTACATAATATACATATGCACATATATACACAAGTACATAAATGCTTATAAACGATTGCACAAACGACTTTCTCTTTAAGAGTCTGAATTAAATTATTTTTGCACAAAAAAAAAAAAACGAAAAAAATAAAATTTTCAGTTTCAGCTTGATGTGATGATATAATTAAAAAACTTGTACATGCTGTCTCTTATACACATCTAGATGTGTATAAGAGACAGAATTTTAAAATGGGTTTTACATAATATACATATGCACATATATACACAAGTACATAAATGCTTATAAACGATTGCACAAACGACTTTCTCTTTAAGAGTCTGAATTAAATTATTTTTGCACAAAAAAAAAAAAACGAAAAAAATAAAATTTTCAGTTTCAGCTTGATGTGATGATATAATTAAAAAACTTGTACATGTATAAAAAAAAATGTATGAAGCTTTAATAATTTGGAAAAATTATAAAAAATAAATATTTTTAGACAAAAAAAGTTTCTTAGCATCCTTTTAACAAAAAGCTTGAAAAAAATTTAAGATAGTATACAACAAAAAATTAAAAAAAAAGATAAAATAAAAATTGGTAAAACAAAATTTTTGAAAATAGCTTAAAAAAAATTTAATATAGTATACAACAAAAAATGAAAAAAAATAAAATAAAAAATTGGTAAAACAAATTTTTTGAAAATATTTCAAAATTAAAATTTTTTTAAAATTATTATTATTATTTTTTTTTTTAATTATTTACCTGGAAAAATTTTGTAACCAAAACTCCAAAAAGTAAAATGGTAAAACAAAATTTAAGAAATAAATTCAAATTGAAAAAATTTAAACATTTTGGAAAAATAAAAAAAAAATGGTTATTTGAGCGGAATTGCGAAAACTAAAAAAATATATAAATAATTTGTGTACATTAGAGCGGGTCGATTTTTTTTTCTTTCTATAAAACGAGGATAATTTTTCTATAAATATAATTGACAAATGATCAATAGAATATCAAAGTGCATATATTATACTTATCGAATTTTTTTCGAATAGCTCAAAAACCGACGCACAAATTTGTATAATCCCCAGACAACTTCGTCTTAAAATATGCGGGCTAAAAACCGGATTTGGACCCATAGGCGCTTAGGGAAATTTGTGCAAAATGATTCACAGAATATTTTTGGCAAAGACGATTTTTCCTGCTCTTGGCTCACTGTAAGTCGACTCGCTCTAATATACACACATACATACACATACGTGTTATATTATTTATATATTCATTTCTGTTATATTTTTTTACGTTAACAAAAAAATTTTAAATTTTTTAGATATTTTTTTTCTTGTTGTCAATATTTTATAAACTAAAATTTTTTAATTAATTTTTTTATAAATTTTAAGTAAATAGATGGTTTTAAGGAAGTGCTCTAGTCTAGCGGCATGAATTTCAGGTAATTTTTAAAGTGCTGTAGAAAAAATTCAACTCATTGTTTTATTAACAATTTTCTTTTATTAATATTACAGTTAGACAGGGAAATGTTAAATATAAATGTTAAAAATTTCAATAATTCGCAGCTGTTAAGAGTGGCGGTTGATTTGGCACAAAAATTGACACGTGACCATGCCCACCATTTCAACTCTCCAATCAGCAATCTGTAACCCAAAAAACAACATAAATGAATCAAGAATAATAATGTAGCAACGTTCTGAGACTACGGAAATTTTTGAAGAAAAAAATCCACCAAATGGCGACTGCCTGAAAAAAATACATTTGTGTGAAAAACCTAATTTTATTTTTTTAGTTAAATACAAATTTCAACAATATACTAAAAATTTATTAAGACTGCATACCTATGTATACATTTAATTTTATCCTCAATCCACGAAAAATTAACTGCAAACTTATAAAAATGCTATATTAACTTAAAAAAATATGAACTAATTAAATATTTACAATAAAATAGCCGCCTTACCATATAGAATATCAGCATATGCTGTAAGTAAAAGTAAGTATTACGAAAGCTAAATAGCACATTTAAAAGAAATTTACAACAATTTACCAAAAAATTATTTTTGCTTTCTTAAATTTTCCAAGAATTTCCATTATAAAAATTAATCCAATAAAATTTCTTAAAAATCCATACAAGTTTCATAAAAATCCTTATATCATTAAGTTTACGCGTATTACACGCATTCAACAGCTTTCACACACACCAGCAAGCGCCATTTCCGTGCGCTGCAGGAAAAATAAAAATTGCGTGCCGTTTGTCAGATTTGTCGCTTTCCACCAGGCGACCATAATCGAGCAGCAGGCGGCTGTCGCAACAAAGTTGCGAGCCACATGTTGCTGGCGCCACAAGCGAGCGATAAAAATCGTGCTGCCAGCTTGTGTGCTTAGTTCATATGTTTTACTTACTTGTTTGATTTCGTACAAAAATTAGGTGTGAATCTCAAAAATTTGTGAAAAATAAAAACGATTTGCTTATTTTGTAACACAAATTAGTTTTTATTCATAGAATAACTGTCATATTTCGTTATAATTAAGTAATTTACTTGTAGAAGTTTATAACACTGCCTTATCGACGCTAGTTTACACACTGTGGCATCACCGTTTTCCACGAACCGCTAACAGCTGTTTGACAAACAACAAACAATAATAAATAAAGTAAACAACCAATCAGAATGCATTTCTGGTTTATTAAATTATTATTATGGCACAAGTGCAAAAGCAAACACCTTCTACTAAACTGAAAAATATTACAATGATAACTTAGCTCTGCAAGCAATGTTTTAAACAACTAGTTGCAGAAATGGCAGCTTTCACATATACTATTATGCCGATTGGGTGCGATGGTTGCCCGTGCTGCGCCTTTGGCTGGAACTTGCAAAGCTGGCATGTGATTGTTTCAATGATATAATGCCGGAAAATTGAAAGTACATTATGAGTTTGTTCGAGTGTTTCTAATCCGCTCAAGTTGTAGCAATTGCCTTTGGCGGATTAACTGATATTCACAGATATTTTCTGCCCTTGCATTGTTTATAAAACCAGCGCTGAATTGTTTAAGAAATGCTTATTGTACGTAGTACTCTCTCGTCCAACTTGACAATATAGTAATAAACATTGTATTTACAGGTAGTAACATTGTCATGTTACGGAAACTGCGAAGTACTTTGTTCCTGTTGCTTGTGGTTGATATAAAGACTATTTACTGCCTGCTACGCCAGCGTGTGTTGGGGAATAATGTTGTTGGAATGATGTGGTTTTGCTTTAAAAGGAGCGGCTGTAATATTTTTACAGTGAAATGTAGAATTTTTAGTAGTATTTTTCTATAAGTGACAACTGTAACTACATTTGAAAAAAGGATAAAGATAATAATAATGTGTATTAGTAAATCAAGATTAATGTAAAAGTTCATTACTTAATTGACAAATAAAAAGATATATATATACTATATTATACTCACAAAATTCTTTCGCTACAACAACAAGTATATTATATTTCATTTTGTCCCCAGACCACATATTAATTCAGTAGTATGATTTGTACCAATTTATATAATTTAGTTTGGTTACTCCAAATATTTCGAAATACCTATGTACATGCATATATTATGTATGTGTAAGTTGTCAATGTCTAGATTTTAGGCCAATACAAAAACTTGTTAGCATACGAAATGTTATTATTTGTACAAATGAGCTATGTAGCATATATGTATACATACATATGTATATATGGATTAGGCAGGCGTTAGCATACAAGGAAGTGTCTAGATAAGTGCAGCGTTTACTTAAATGCTTTTTTGCTGGTCAGTAGGGTAATCTGGCCTGTTTTTTTTTTTGACATTTTTTCATAGCAATTTTTATTCTACAATAGAAACTTTTTCACATTTCATGAGGTATATCGTGGTGTATATAAAAAAATTTTTTTTCGGAATTTTTTGATAACGTCTGTCGGAGAAATGACTGGGTGAATGAGATGCGTTTTTTTTACTGGCGGACCCGATTTCTCATGTTTCAATCATCTGAAACACAAAAATCCAATTATATAATTAGAATATGCGTGAGTGGTTATCGTCCCTGTTAGAATCATGAAAAACTGTTGATAAATAAAAAAGTAATTAAAGTTTTTTTTTTTTTTTTAATTTTTTTTCGATGTTTGTTTACATTTTGTCATAACGTTGTCAATAAATTATAAAAAAATGAGTCTAGTAGAGACGATAGATAAGCTTTTTGTGAAAATTAAACAAAAAGTTTAGGCAAATCGTTTGAGTAGTTCGACCAGAGTCATCTCCGCCAATTTAAAAAAGTGTGTGTTTGAGAAAAACGCGTTTAAAGTTTGAGGTGTGCACTTCGAGCACGCCGAACATCGAACGGAATTATTATTTTTGTGCCTTTTTCGAAACCTTCCAATGGTAAAGTGGGTCTCTGCATTAATTCTAAGGGTTTAAGGGAACAGAAAATGCAAAAAAAATTTTATTTTCGATAAAGGATTCCCCTACTGAACCTTAAGTGCTTTTAAATTGATCACACAACCATATACAGGTAAAAAAAAGTTAATTGAAAGGTATTAGTTAATTACCTAGGATATAGTATGAAGCATAAGTATATGTACATACATATGTATGTATACTTAATTCATAGGTATCTTGCATATAATGGGTAAAAATCAGAATATAAATACATAAATAAAGAAGTTGTTTATAGATTTTTCAAAATAGCTTTCTGTGTTACTACAACAGTAAATGAATTTTATTTGAAAATAATATTTTTTAATTCAAGCTATGTAGCGTTTACAGCTGTATATTACCTTTTTTGAAGCTCATATATGATAAGTTTATTTCTAGAT